ACTAATTTAGATAAGGAAGACAGGCAGCAGTTGTTTGTGAAGGTCATATTTACAGAGATCTGCCAGCATACTTTCATTGTGAGCTCCTTGAGGGCAGGGACTGTGCCTTACTTACTTTTATATCACCAGTGCTTAGAACGTGCTTGGCACAAATCATAAAAAATTGGTGTTATTTTTATAGTAGGTTGTTAATGATTGAATTGCACACCCCCACAGTACATATCGGAATCCTAACCCCATCATTCATATCTCCATTTGTTGCCTAAAATGTGTTGAGTCCACAGAAGAAAGAACACCCGCACACGGATTACCACCACCTCTATTCCTGCAAATGCTACACATTCTATCAGAGAAGCTATGGAACCTTAGTGGCACAATGGTTAACTGCTCACTGCTAACTGAACCCACCAGCCACTTTATGGGAGATAACACTTGGTGATCTACTCTCTGCAATGATGCCAGCCTAGGAAACCATATGGGGAAGTTCTCCTCTGTCCTATAGTGTGCCTATGAGTAAGAATTGACTGGATGGCAAACAGCAACATACCTGTGGATGTAATCCCATTTGAGAACAAAGTTTTATTTGCTATGTTAATAAGGCCATGCCAATGTGGGGTCTGTCCTAAACCTAATCACTTCTGAGTTATAAGAAGAGTTGATTAGACATAGAAGTAAGCACATACTGGGGAAGACAGATGCTATGTGAGGATGGTCAAGAACCAAGGAATGCCCAGAGCTACCCACATAGCCAAGACATTGATTTGGACTTTTAGCCTCCAGAACTGTGAGAAAATAAATTTCCCTTCTTTAAAGACATCCACTTGTGGTATTAGTGTTACAGTAGCACTAAGAAACTAAGACACAGGTATTCAATGAATGTTGGAAGAATAAATAAATTGTCTCCTTCCAGCAGTTCCTATTTAGAGTAGCATGTACTTAATCACATGGAGACAATTATGTCAAACAAACTTGGTATTCTTGCCCTACTGTCTTAATTTCTTCCTTCCTTGTCTTCCTTTTGTTGATTTTTATTCATATCTCCATTTGTTGCCTAAAATGTGTTGAGTCCACACAAGAAAGAACACCCACACACATATTACCACCACCTCTATTCCTGCAAATGCTGCAATTCTATCCAAGAAGCTATTAAGCGCTCCCAAATAGAGCAAACCTCTCATTGACTATCACATGCATCTTTAAACGATCTTTGAATAGCATTTTCTTTTTATTGCTTTGTGTAGTTTAACGGCACTGATTGCGATTACTCTAGCTTATGATAAACACCAGATCTATAAAGATTCTGTTCATTCATTATTTCCCTCTTGCTCTTTCTCAAGTTTTTTTTTTTTGGTGGGGGGGTGGATATAGCAAGGAGGGGGGTGGAGGGAAAAGAAGATAAAATGATACCAAATTAACAGGGCAACAAATGAAATAGAGGACCACTTCTCCCCTCTTGACAGACACCACATTAGATACTGTTAAGCAGAACAAACACTGTTTCGTACAGTACAAGGAGATCTTTTATAATTATTCTGAATTGGAAATATAATGATTACCACCTTATCTTTAATGGAAGAAGCAGCTCATTGTTCCAATATCTCTAATTCCAGCATCTTAAAGAAAAATAACTATTTTTACTATTTTACCAATTGTTCAGTTTATACCAAGGTGTCCTGTGCAGCCCAGACAGAGTTTTCTGTTTCTTGATATATGTTGTGGCTGTCATTTCAGTTCAATTATTAATATGTGGCAGTTATAATTATTTTGAATATTGGTACAAGATAATTATAAACCATAAAACAGTTCCCCATGCTTGCTGATGCATTTTCTTATCTGCAGAAATAAGGAGTTTAGGAATGTGAGCTTTAGAAAGAGAAAAAAAGGGGTAATGTGGAACTTGGGTGGTGAGGCTGGCTGGAACAGGAGCAAAGGACCCCTCATCCTCTGGGCCTTTTCCTCTTCTTCACCTCATGCTGCCACCCCTCCAGAGCCAAAGAGCTGACCTACTTTATGAGTATGTCCTTCTGCCCCACTGTCTTACCCTCCTTCTGTCTCCTTTTAGTTAGTTGACACTTGCAATTCATTACACATTGTGGGTTAGCTTGCTTACAATCCCTTCTCTCCTTGTTCACCTGGAAGCAGCAGCTACTCTGTGTGTGTGCGTTATTGTGTGCATCATTGTGTACATTGGGGCATTTGGGAGGGGTGAGAATAAGATGCAGGGAAGGAGGGGAGTTCCTTGGACATCCTTGTTGCCTCTATTGTCTCTGTCTCTGAACTCCTTGCTTGATTCTCAATTAGGCTTCACTGTGAGAGGTAGTAGATTGGAGTAAGGCAGCTAGTATCTCTCATTCTTACAATAAGTCAACCATAATCAGTGGAAAGGAATAACCTCTTTGTGTGAATTGTATGTGTTTGGAGAGAGGACTCCCAAGAGAATAGGCATTGTTTTGGTATCTTCCCATTCTAACAAAGGAAAGCTACTAAACATGTTATTTTATTGGCTTAGTTGTTGCACAAAGAAAGGTTAACTGCCCTCAGAGGTCAAATTCTGGCTTTGTTTCCCAGCCCTCCTCTAGTCCTTCCTGACTCTCATCCTTCCTTCTTTATTTAAACAATATCTAAGGAGTGCTTCCCTACCTAATGTTTACTTTCTTTTTCATCCCATTTTCCTAATCTCCTGATTTAGGGAATAATAACTGTATCTTTCTTCTTATGGTAAACACACTCATACCCCTCCTTAAACAAACAAACAAAGAAAAAAGCCCACTGCCATTGAGTAGATTCTGACTCATAGTGACCTCCATGGGCTTCCAAGTTGCTATATCTTTATGGAAGTGATTGATCCATCATCCTTCTGAGGAGTGGCTGGTGAGTTTGAACCACCAAGCTTCTGGTTAGCAGCCAAATGCCTTAGGTGTTGCACCACCAGAGCTCCTTACCCCTCCCTTAGCCACTCATAAGACATAGGGGTAGGAGGGTGTCAAATCCTGCTCATCTGCCTTGTGATGTGATTCTTTTTTTAAGCCCCAAGAGCTGGCATCAGTATCCTTCTGAAGCCAGACACTTGGAGCTTGGGGTTTCAAATCCAGCCCAGTTCTGGCTTTTTTGGCTTCCACAATCTCTGAACCTTGTTTCAGCTCCTCTAATGAGCATTGCCAGGAGCTCTGGTAGCATAGTGCCTAAGGCACTTGACTGCTAACCAGAAGGCTGGCGGTTCAAATCCACCAGCCACTCCTCGGAAGGAAGGTTGGGCAATCCTACTTCTGTAGTGATACTGCCTCGGAAACCCAAGGAGGGGTTGCTATGAGTCGGGGCCGACTCGACGGCAAATAACAACAACAACAACAATGAGCATTGCCAGCAACAGAATATGTCTATTCAGTACCATGGTCAGAGCTTGATGTCAGTTCCCACAAATTAGAAGTTACTGCCTAGTACTCTTGTGAAGGTGGTGCTGGGGAAGGAGGGCAAGCTGAGAAAGAGGAGAAAAGTCAGAGAGGGAGACAGACTGACAGGATGTGGAAAATGCAACCCTCCTATCCCCCCATCCCCTTGGCTGTGCTCAATCATGAAGTTCCTACAAATAGGAAGTGGCTTCTTGATGCTGCCATTTTCTTATACAGACAGGGGGCAAATAGGGAGGTGATCACATTCTGTGCTTAATTTTGCTAGTATAACGCTTGTCAAACTGTCACCATGATGGGTGCTGGTGACAACCCAAAACTGGCAAGGTCTCAGGTCTGGGGAAGGCATGGGAGTGTGGGTATTGTGGACTGTTGGTTAGGAGGAGAGCCAGCTGAGGAGCACAGGAAGAGAGCACTGGAATAATGTTGTGGCCTAACTCTGGGAATAGAGATGGTAGAGGTGAGCTGCCTCCTCCATGCCTGGAATGGGAATGAGGCTACAGGGGCCCTGGGCCTTGGGAAGGGAGGGGCCCAGCTCACGGCATGCTGAGCTGGTGGGAAGCCAGGGCTTCATTTGTCTGATTTTAATGAATAAATGGCATCCCCAGCCATTGTTTATCTACTTTTGAATCCTGACAAACAGTCTGTGGCATCTGATAGAGAGGGTTATTAGCTGCACAGAGACAGATGGCTAGGGATGGAAGGGATTGGTTCTTTATTATAGCAGCCCCATAAGTGACAGCACTTCTTCAAATCCCAGCCTCCATGTCAATGTCAGTACCTTCCCTAAGCCTTCTGAGACCCAGTCAAGCCTCTAAGGAAAGATGTAGTACAAGAGGAAGGTGGAATGGCCCATGAGGAAGAGGCAGAGGGAGGGCTAATGGAATTGAAAGGAAGCATATTCCAAGTGTAAGGTTTTTGAGAATAAAATCTGCCTTATTCTTCCTTAGTATTCTCCTAAGTGTCCTGAAAGGTGCTGCTTATTTGCTAGGCAACCAAGAAATGTGAATGACTGAGGAGGAAGGTAAAGAAGTCTAGATGAGAAATGATAATGGAAACAAATTTAATTGGACTGGGTGGGAGGGGAGAACAAATGGCAGGGGAGAGAGAGGAGGAGAAGCAGGGGACACAATAGGAGGAAGGAAGACAGCATGGTTATGATAGCATGGAAGATGCTTATGAATCAGCATCACTGTGTTTCAGGCATCACTACTCCTCCCCATATTACTGTATAAATAAAATCAGTTGTTGAGTTGACTCCAACTCATGGCGACCCCATGTATGTCTGAGCAGAACTGTGCTTTATGGTTTTCAGTGGCTGTTTTTTGGGGAGTAGATCACCAGAGCTTCTTCTGAGATGCCTTTGCGTGGACTCAGACCTCCAACCTTTCAGGTAGTAGCTGAGTGGGTTAACCATTTACACCACCCAGGGACTCCACTATATAAATAGCTTAATGGAATTCAAACTAATCTGCCCATTGTACTTTCTGAAATGCCCTAGGTTTCTCTTCCTGATCTCTCTTTACTCTGAGCATAGGGCATAGCTTCCCCCCTCTACATCATCCCTGAGATATCAGAGAGGTTCCCACCGACCTTCATTCATTCTCCGAAACTTGTCCTTGGCCATGTAGCCTAGCACCAGACAGCATCCTCTCTTCTGGAGGCCCAGCTCTGGAAGAAAAACAGAGGTGGGTGAGTTGAGAATGGGCCAGATGTTAGCAAAAGCCCCTCTGCAGGGGTTGTGAAGCTTGCTGCTTTTAGAAACACAGCAATTTGTTTATTTAACAAACATTTATATAGCATGTACTATGTTCCAGGTGTAATTTTAAGCCAATTAATTCCTCATTCAATTCTCACAACAACCCTATAAGGTACATACCATTATTACCCTGATTTTATATCACTCTCACTTACAGATGCATTAAGTAAACTGCCTTAGATGAAAGCATTAGTAGGTGGTGGAGCCAGGATTTTGAACCAAGGAATCTGGTGCTGGAGTCCATGCTCATGGCCATTACTCAAGGAGTTATTGAGGCTCTTTATGTCCCAGGTTGGGAATTATACCTAGATCATACTGGGATTGTGGCCAGAGAGGCAGAGTCCAATCTGTGGTGTCTATGTTGGAGCAGTTCAACCAGACAGCGGGTGAGTATGATGGTTGAAAAGGTGATAGAGGTGAGCTTAGGGGGAGAACAGAGGGTAAAGTACAGGTAGAAAGACCTTTTTTTTTTTTGGAGAGAGTGAGTTTCTGAGGAGAAACTAGAAGTCTGGATGAGAAATGATAATGGAAACAGATTTAATTGGATTAGGTGGGAGGGGGAGAATAAAAGAGAGAAGAGGAGACATAGGGACACAGTAGGAGGAAGGAAGATAGCATAAGGAAGATGTTTATGGGGGTGGTGATTCCTGTATCTTCTTTTATTAAGTAATACTGGGCACAACTCAGCACCAGCACCAAGAATTTATATAGACTCAATGGAGAGCACAGGGGTTGAATGTCTAAGAGATGCAAGAAATAGACCTGATCCCACAGGCTTTTTCCCCAATTAGAAAAACTAGATAGAAATACTACAAGATGAACAACAATTTCATGTAGCAAATCCAAGACCATTTACTAGCCTTCACCCACTGCTGTTGAGTCAATTCTAACTCATAATGATCCTATAGGAGAGAGTAGGACTGCCTCATAGTGTTTCCAAGGCTGTAAATCTTTACAGAAGCAGACTGCCACATCTTTCTCCCATGGAGTAGCTGCTAACTTTTCAGTTAGCAGCCAAACATTTTAACCACTGCACCACCAGGGCTCCTTTTTCTTTGCACCCAAATCAAAAGAAAACCCATGCTGTCAAAAGGATTCCAAGTTAGTGCCTAAGGCATTTGACTGCTAACCAGAAGGCTGGTGGCTCAAACCCACCAGCCACTCATTGGAAGGAAGATTGGGCAATCTATTTCTGTAGTGATATCACCTCAAAAACTCAAAGAGGTGTTGCTATAAGTCAGAATCAACTCGATGGGAGTGAGTTTACAGGACAGAGTAGAACTGTCCCATAGGCTTTCCAAGGCTGTAAATCTTTACAGAAACAGACTGCCACATCTTTCTACTGCACAGTGGCTGGTGGGTTTGAACTGTGCATCTTTCAGTTAGCAGCAGAGTGCTTTAACCACTGCATCACCAGGGCACCTTATTTTCTTTGCACAGCACTTTGTAAATCAGCTTCCATTGTTTGTGTTGGCCTGGAGTACACCTGCCTCACAAGAAGACAAGCTTTTGTCTTTGGTGTTTCTCCTTTAATCCTGATTTGTCTCAAGTATTTGATGGGTTTTGAAGCAATTCTGCACCAAATTTTCCTTTTGACCCCCACAGCAACCCTGTGAGGTAGGCAGATCAGGTGTTGCTATTCACATTATGCAAATGAGAAAATTGAGGTTCAAAAATTGTAAATGACTTCCCATGATTATTTTAGACTCCCCACACTGCATCTTTGCTCAGAAATCCTACAAAAGTGACAACTGCCATAAATTGGGTAAGTGGATAAAGAATATGATTTCTGGAAGAAGAAATATGACTGCAGCTCCTCCAAGGTCCCCTCAGGCCTTGTGGGCTTTCTAGGCACCCAGCCATTCCCTCCATCACTTTCTCAGAAAATGAAGGTCCTGTTGAATGGCGTGCCACAGCCACTTCTCCCACAGCGCTTGGTGTTGCTCTGAGCCCCAGCTGTCCATGTCCGGCTGTAGAGTGTCGACAGGGTAGGCTCCTCCCTTCCTCTCCACCCAACTCCTGTGCCCAGGTCCACCCTCTATGGGAAGCGGGGGTGGGGGGTGGGGGTGGGGGTGGGGGGTAGGGAAGGGAGTAGAAGGCCCAGGAGAGACAGATAAAGCAAGCTTGGGTGCTCCTGCCCTAGAGAAAAACAAAGTGTGTCTGTGGTGGCAGAATGCCAGGGCTCAGGGAGGTTGCTAGCTTTGATCTGCTGGTTCTTTAAAGGGGTTTATTGACTATCAGTAAAGAGCAGAGCAGCAGATCTAAGCATGCCTTTTCCAAAGGCACTCACTTCTCTTTCTTTCCCTCTATGCTCTGTGTCTGAAGGCACGGGCCAAACCGCCCTCACTTCAAACAGCCTTACATCTCAGGCGTCCAAATTGACGATGTTAAGTTCCTTCATCCAAGGCCTTGGCCCTTTCTTCAGGGGCTCCTGCTCTGTTGAGGGCCTATCGGATCAAAGCCCCTTTGATGTTTACTTACTATATTTGTGGATCCTTTCTAACAAGCACCTTCAAGAGCAGGAATGCAGCATGCCAGGAGGGGGCCAGCGGAAGTACAAGCTGTGAGGAGGCAATGAGCTCCAGCGAACAATAGCCTTTTGCCAGAGACAGTACTGAAACCTCAACATGCTGACGACAGGCAAAGTTAACCGGTCCATTACAATTGCATGCATATTGTTCATCATCAGAATAATACAATTGCTGATGAGTTCCATTATCTTTTCTATTGACTTCTTATGCCCATCTGAAGCACATCAGCAGTGGCTCTTAATGAGAAAGGGAGCTTGGGTTCCTGGAATGAGCCCAGGAGGGAAGGGGAGTATTGAGGAGGGAAGGCAAGAGGTGCTGGATGGATTTGGGCCAATGTTCTAGTTTATCTTCCTGGACAGTCCCCTGAACGCTCAGGCGGAATAGAGAGGGGTACGGTTCTCCTAAAGATTGAGAGTGTAAACAACCTGTTGTTGTTTGCCGTCGAGTCGGCCCCGACTCATAGCGACCCCTTGGGTTTCCGAGGCAGTATCACTATGGAAGTAGGATTGCCCAACCTTCCTTCCGAGGAGTGGCTGGTGGGTTTGAACCGCCAGCCTTCTGGTTAGCAGTCAAGTGCTTTTAGCCACTATGCTACCAGAGCTCCCAAACAAACTGTAGGATGGGCTTACCTATGTTGGCTGTCTCTGCCATCCCAATTAAACCCATTCCTTATCACATAACAAGGTGCTACCCAGGGTGATTGAGAAAAGAGGCCACATGTACCATCAGTTGTTATAAAGAGTCTCACTGACCATGTTGGTATTTGCCAATGAGCAGGGAAAGAGGTTTTTTGTTTTTTGTTTTTTTTTTTAAATCTGATTAATAAAAGAAATTGAGGATGAGGCAATTTCTCAATGTATTTGGCTCATTTAATTTGACATGTGTGGGTTAGTCTTAATTATTTAGGTGGTTACATTACAAAGTGCTAATAAGCACACTGCAAAAAATGTATTAAGTGAGTGGACTCTCTGATGGAGTCTTTGCTGCCAAGTAGGGAGAAGCCACTGGGATTCTTGCAAGAAGGAGCAGGTTGGAGGATTAATGAAGTGAAGTGAGCTAGTTTTCCATATACAAACATTTAGGATGTTCTTGGAGAGATTTGGAGAGCTAAATTAGAGGTCGTTGGGTCCATATGGGGAAGGATGCCAGTAGCGCTGAAGTGGAGGAGACTCTAGAAATACAGGTAGGGGGATGGCATGCTGTCAAAGGCTCTGACCATAGGGAGAACCAGGAGGAAGCAGAAACTAACTGCTCTTCCTGGGGAAATGTCCAGCCATGCTAACTGTGGAGAGATGATAGAAGGTGATGAGAAGAGCAGGAATCTCTCACTTTGTAAGCCAGACCAGCCACCAGGCTATCAGCTTCCTTGTCACATGGCACTGGATGGGTGGTGGAGTTTGACCAGGGAGAGCCCTTTTAGAACAATAAGATGATGGGTTCTTCTCCAAGTAGGCATCCAGGCCACAGTCTTTGGCTAAGCACTCATCAACAGTGAACCACTTAGATACTCCAAAGCTGTTTGCCTTAGTTATCTAGTGCTGCTATAACAGAATTACCACAAATGGATGGCTTTCATGAACAGAAATTTATTTTCTCACAGCTTAAGAGGCAGAAGCCTGAATTCAGGATGCCACCTTTCACTCTCTGTTGGCTCTAGGGGAAGGTCTTTGTCTCTTTTTTCAGCTTTTGTTGCTCAGTTCCTTTGTGATCTTCATGTGGCATGTATCTTCCCCTCTGTGCTTGCTTCTTTGTGCTAATCTGCTCTTTTTACATCTCAAAGTGATTGGCTTAAAACATACCCTACACAGATACAGCCTCATTAACATAACAAAGAAAACCCTATTACCAAAGGGGATTACATACACTGATACAGCCTCACTAACATAACAAAGAAAACCCTATTACATCCACAGTATGTTGTTGTTGTTGTTATGTGCCGTCGAGTCAGCCCTGACTCATAGCGACCCCTCCTTGGGTTTCCGAGGCAGTATCACTACGGAAGTAGGATTGCCCAACCTTCCTTCCGAGGAGTGGCTGATGGGTTTGAACCGCCAGCCATCTGGTGAGCAGTCAAGTGCCTTAGCCACTATGCTACCAGAGCTCCCTACATCCACAGTATAGGGGTTAAGATTTACAACACATAATTTAGGGGATACAGTCCAATCCATAACAGTGTTCATCATGGAATGTGATTAACATAAAGTACTAGTTTTAATGCAGATACATGCATACCAATGTTCACTGCAGCACTAGTCACAATGGCCAAAAGGTGGAAACAAGCCAAGTGTCCATCAACAGATGAACGGATAAAAAAATGTGGTACATACATACAAGTATACCTTGTTTTGTGCTTTACTTTATTGTGCTTCACAGATATTTTT